TTCGTCTCTGCACTCCGCGTTCGAGTCGTGATGGTTTGAACTTGGGAGGAAAACAAACCCCAATCACGTGCAGCAAAAGCTTGCTTGCAACAGCTTCGTTGTCAACTCAGGGCTGCCACGACAGCCACAGAGAGTGAGCTCTCTTGATACAGTGCGCCCTCAACTGATCTTTGCATGGCTGGACAGGAGGTGTTGTGGCTGACAGGCAGAAAGTCAAGGGTGTCAGATCAACTGACAGGATTCGCAGAAGAGATTTGAAATCACCTGAAAGTGAAACCAGCATCTGCATTGCATGTTCTCCCCTATCCCAATTTCCGACATGCTTTCCGTCCTCGCCCCCCTCAGTTCCGAGTCAGTAAAATGTGACCAATCACCAGCAAAATGTAACCTCAATCTCCCATTCCTAGGGCTGCTCGACAACGCATACAGTTGAAGCAAACCTCCACAACACGATTAAGACGCGGTGCAGGTCATTTCGACAAGTGATCCATCGATCGGGGCATAAATGCACGAGGCGTTGTGATCCTGTTTTCATGAAGAGCATCCAAGTTTCCAACGACTGCGTAGCTCGATTTCCATTTGGCCAGGACTCAAACCCAGCTCACTGGGCCACCCTCGGTCTCAGAAACGGGTCGACTCGAACAAGGGTGCCACCGTGCGCTCCCTGGGTCGCGTTTTCCGCCTGGAGTCGAAGCGAACCACACCACTAACTACCACTGTACACTCGTCTGACCGAACGGAGACAATGAACGCAGCCTCACAGAACAGCGTTTTTGCCGTCCTTTCAAGGCAACCTCTCTCGTTCCCCGAGTGAGTCCATACCCCCTTCACTGCTCCCCCCTTCCCCACCCCGCTTCCCCCCTCCCTCCCTCCCCAACAGCCCCGCCCCCCAGCCCCCTACTCTGGTTCTCCCTTATCCTCAACTTCCACCGTCCATTCCCTGGACGCTTGCTGTTGCGTTGCAATTCGCGCGATCGCAATCGCGGGAGACATCGAGCTTTTGATACGTCGATGAAGCCCACAACAAATGATGCGATACCTCCATTCCCTCGTGCTCACTCATCACTGTCATGTGCCTGCCAGCTTTGCCAGAGGCGCAAAGCTGGGCTGATGCGGAGAGTCCCTCGGCGACGATTGGCGTCGTGCAGCTCTCGCCTGAGTTGTCGTCTCCTTTTTGTCGCTCATCTGCTGAGCTCTGACAGCTCTTCAATTGGCAGACGGTCGGTGGGGGTTGGCCGTGAATCGAGGAGGGGCAGATTGTTCTTTCCGCACCGTCCGCTCGCACTCCCCCCCAAATATTTCAAGAACAAAACCCCACATTCTTTTCCAACCCATGTCCGATAAACTACACGACCGACTGTACACAACGCGGATTGTGACCTTGCATGCGTGTCAGTCAATCTCTTTTCAGAACCTGCCAATTGACCTGACCGGAAGACTTCACGCCTTCCACTCCACTGGCTCCTGCTGGCCTATCTCGAAGACTTTGAGGGGAAGGTTTGCCTTTGCTCTACAGGTCGATTCTGTCCTTTCAGATGAGCTCAGTGTAAAGAAACCTCTCACGACAAATCATATTTTTTTCAGAGGCGAAAATATATATAGCCAAAAAGAGTTCCATTCAATTTATGCTCCGATCACTCCTACGTCGGTATGTGTCGTGCTAATTTGCATTCTTGTCCACACTGGCGCTTGATTCGTCCCCCAAACGAAATTTCCCTCCCCTGTTTTGCCCACACTGATAACACCTGGACGCAAGCAAACATCTGAGAGAAGGGGGAAGCGGGAATATGGGTGTGAAAAGACCGCAAGCCTGTTGTTTTGAAGTTTAGATTTCATATCACCTGCCCTTCACTCTGTTTCAGGCGGTTTATGGCCATCCTGGAGTGGCCACCACCAGCTGTTCACATTGAAGAGATGGGTTGGCACAGACGGTGACACATCCTAAAGCCATCTCGCACGACCTCGTAGCATCTCGCTCAACCGTTTCAGAAATCAAGAAATCGCATCGAACAAACAGAGCACTAACTATTCTGACACGCGGCGCCGATTCTTGAAAATTCGCCATTCACGTTCTTTAGCCTCGTTTCCTAGCCTGCTCGTCACTCTATTTCTAAATCCACCAGCCCCACCTGCGGTAGTTTTGTCTCACGCCGATAATCACGTGCTCTCACCTCATTCGACCGACCACCAGCTCTTGCATCTCTTCTTTGGAGCAACGCACGCCCGCCGTTACAGTATCACTACCTCAACTCCAGCAAAACACTGCAAGCGCCATCGTCGCTGCCGCGGGTCCGCCGTCGCTCTTTCGAGATCCACCAGCCGCTTCCCCCCCCCGCTCCCAAGTTTCGATTCGCCGCGTACCAAGTATCGGAGAGAACAACTCATTCGACGGAACCATTCGTTATCAGCATCGTCGTCGTCGGCACCGCGCCGCGGCATCAGCGCCAACATCGCCGGCTTCAGCGCCTGGGTACCACGTTCGCGAACAATACCATTCGTTATCAGCATCCTCGGCGGCACCGCCACGGCATTAGCGCCAACATCGCCGGCTTCGGCGGCACCATCACCATCAGCGTCAGATCCCGGCGGCCATGGCCGCCTGTCTCAAGAACACGGACACCGCAATGAGCGATCGTTCGCATGAGCCTGGTTACCACGTTTGTGAAAATCGTGGACGGCAGAGTCATGCTGCCGGCCGCAGCAACTCCGCTCAGAACCAAGGCGGCTCGGTGAGCTCCACCATGATAGCCGGAAGTTGCGCCACCACTCTCACCGCCGCCGCTTCCGCTTCCGCTTCCGCCGCTGCTGCGTCGAACACTCCGAACGCCTCCGCGAGGAAGGTTCATCAAGACGGTTTGCTGCTCCGAGCCGCGGCGCGTCTGACGGAAATCGTCCACGCTGACGGCTACTGCTGGCTGAAGTACGGCGAGAAGCGCGTCACCGAGAAGTCTCTTCTCCGGTAAGGCTTCGCGATCCGCTTACGCGGCAGCGCCATTAACTAATCTGCATGTAAATACGAGCAAAACCCTACAAATTATTTTCGTAATACCAGGACTCAGTTGCGGTGGCACCCTCTCTCTCCCTCACCCCCCTCCCCCCCCCCCCGCCGCCCCGCGCCCCCGCCGCGCTGAGTCGTCTCATGGGTTATCTGCCTCACTCCCCCTCTCCCCTCCTTCCACTTCCCCCCTCCTTCCGCTCTCCCCTCCTTCCGTTTTCCCTCCCCCGCGCGCAGATCCTACTACAAGTGCGCGTGGTCTAAGGCGGCGGTGCCGTGCGTCGCGAAGAAAGTGGTCGACGTAAATCCCGATCATCCGCTCAACTCGCGCACGCAATACTCGGGCGCGCACAACCACGCGGAAACCGGCGCAATGCCCAAGGACCTCCGCGGAAAATCTGCCGGCGCGGCCGGCGGAAAGTACCCCAGCGAGCAACAGCCCGAGAACTCGTCTCCGCCTTCCGCCTCCGCGGCTGCCGCATCCGGCGCCGCATCTGGCGCGTCCGGCGCGCCCTCGTCCACGTACCGCCGCATCCGCAATCGGTGGAACCCGCAGGACCCGGTTAGCATCTCCGCTCCCGTCGCCGCCGCCATCTCCGCCGCGATTCCCTCTTCGAATGTCGCGGAGGACTGCGACATGACGGAGCCGCGTGAGCCCGGAAACGCCTGCGACTCGGAGAAGCCGATTCGAGAGAAAACGAGCCAATCACCGTCGAGGAACGGAGTTAACGCTGCTGGGTCCGCTACTATCTCGCGTGGTCATAAGCGGTCGAGCAGTATGAGTGACGGTGGATGCGACACTAACGAGTATGCGTATAACGGTGTGGAGGAGAAACGATTCTCCGCGCCTAAAAGGCGCGCCGGCTCGATGGAGGGTTTGACGGTGTGGTCTCCTGTCGGCGCAGCCAATCAGGAGCAGGGATTGAGACGCTCCGCGACTTTTGCCAATGACGACGTTAACGTTAACGTTTTCCGTCAACCACAGCCTCAGCAACAGCAACAGCCGAAGAGCGAGTGCAAGCCGATTCGCATGACGGAATCCGGCAACTTGAGCCCGTCGGCCGCGCCGCTGACGCCAATTACGTCAGACGCTAACGTCAACGTCAACATTAACGTTAATGTCAACGCGACTAGTTCAGCGCTGGACAGGGCGCCTGTCACGCCCCGCCGGACGGCAACAGCAGGCGAAGCGACGGCCGTATACTCAAGTCCCCTGCAGGCGAAAAAGTGCCGTTTAAAGCTGACTCAACTTCAGACGGACTTCGATATAGTCACAGGCGACGACCCCGAACCGCTCGTTCTTCCAGCCGCGGAAACCGGCCACGTCAGCAGCGCGCCCGCCGCCGTTCCCGGCGCTCGCACCGACTCGCGCTTCGTCTCCCCCTGCGGCCCCCACAACGTTGGCTCGATTCGCCGCTGTCCCATCACGCTACGTGGAGTCGCCTCCGCGTCTCCCGCCGGCACTGCCGCCGCGAGCTTCTCCTCCGCGTCTTGGGATGCGTTTCCAAGCCCTAGCCTCGCTTTCACTCCAACGGGTGTTTCCGCCAATAGCTGGGATGTTATTAAAGGAGAATTTCCCGGGTTTACCCCGCCTGCCAGCACCCCCACGAGCGGGTATTCTTCCGCGCAACAGCTTCCGCTCCCCTCTCCCCGCGCGCACGCTCCGCCTCCGCTGTTTGTAAGCCCGCGCGGGGGAAGTTCCGGGGGAGCTCCGCGCGAAGCTGGCTTTCCCCGGGTGTCTCCGCGCGCGCAACTCTCCGCGAATGCTTTCTCCCCGCCTAGCTGCGGAACCGGCGGAACCGGCGGAAGCAGCAGCGGAGTCTCCCCTTGCCTGCTCCCCGCGCTCCCCGCGCGCCTGCCCGCCCGCCAGTCTTCTGCCAAGCTGCCTCCCGCGTACCCAATTTCCTCCTCTGCCGCTTCGCCAAGGGGTAACCACTCCAGCGCTGTAACGACAGCCTTGGACTCGGCGCTAGGTTCGGCACTTGGTTCGGCACTAGGCTCGGAAATGAGTATGGAGAAGCTTGCTGCAGAGCTCAGTCGGTGGCAAAATGTAACCACTGCTGGTGGTAACCCTAATTCTTGTGCTGGGAACTGCAGTGACGCTGGTAGCCGTGGCAACGCTGGTAACCAAAGCGAAGTGGATAACCAAAGTGTTGGTGGTAACCACAGCGGCAGTGGTAACCAGAGTGGTGGTGGCAATCGCGAGCAGTCGCTGGTGGCGTTGGCGACGGTCGTTGCAGCAGTGGCGATTGCGGCTCAGAATAAGCAGAAGCAAGAGGAGGAGATTCGGCTGCAGCAGCAGCGGCAGCATGAGGAGGAGAGGGAGAGACTTTTGGGCCTGCTGAAGAAATATCAGGTGCTGCTGCAGCAGAAGGAAGGGGGTCGGCAGGAGGAGGTGGGAGGCCAGAACACTAAGGAGCAGCAGCAGCAGAAGCGGGAGGAGGAAGAGAGGGAGCAGAAACGGAGGTTGAGGGAGCAGCAACAGAAGCAGCTGCAGCAGCAGCAGAAACAACAACAGCAGCAGCAGCTGCTGCTTCAGCAAAAGCGGGAGGAGGAAGAAAGGGAGAAGAAACGAAGGTTGAGGGAACACCAGCAGGAAAAGCAGCGGCAGCAGGAGGAGCAGAATAAGCAGATACTGCAGCAGTTGTTGCTGCTACAGCAACACAGAGCGCAACAAAATCAGAAGCAGCAGCAGCAGCAGCAGATTCAAAACGCGAAGAGCATTGCCTCTGGTGCCCCAACTGCTCCTGTTGCACTTGCTGGCCCTACTGCCCCTGCTCCCCCTACCCCTGCACCTTCCGCTGCCCCTACTGCCGCCCCTCCTTCTGCCCCTACTGCCGCCCCTCCTGCTGCCCCTCCTGTTGCCACTCCTGCTGTCACTACTGCTCCCACCACTGCCACGGATCCCAACGCTGCCAGCATCAGCCTCCTCCTGAAGCTGCTATCTGAGAAGCTGCAAGGCCAGGTGGTAACCCCATTACCAGACATGACTGATACCAGCAGCATGACTGCCTCTAGCACCGTCAACTCCTCCCTCTCCCACCATAAATCCCCAAACGCTGCTGCTCCTCCTGCTGCTGCTCCTCTTGCTGCTGCTCCGGCTACTACCGCTCCGGCTGCTGCTGTCCCTGCCCCTCTTCCTGCTGCTGCTGCTGCTGCTCCGGCTGCTTCAGTTTCTATTGCTGCTACTTCCGCCACCCCTCCCGCTGCTGCAGCTCCTGCTGTTCCCCCTGCCTCCCTTCCAACCCCACCCACCGGTCCGGTTGTCTCCCTTCACGCGCTGCTAATGAGCCTTTGCCACCCAACGCTCAATAGCCCTGTTGCAAGTCCCGTCAAGCCGTGCCGCTCGGGGAGCGGAACTACCGTTGGCAACGAGGCCGTTTTAGGCAGGTGTGTGTCTGCTGCTGAGCTGGCAGCAGCTGCTGACGTGGCACTCGAGGATGCAAACGAGCCAGCTGGCAAGTCAATCGGTCCAGATCGAGACTCTCCAGGGGAGCATGATCCTATGACGGACGACTGTCATGTAACGGATCCGTGGGCCTGGTTACCACCTGGTTCCGGTGAGGTGGATGGAATGATGATTGCTGAAGCAGCAGCGGCTCTACCCCATGCTCCTGCCTCTGCTACTCGTGCTGCTGCTGCTCCTGCTCCTGCTGCCGCTCCTCCTGCTGCTGCAGCTGATGTAAGTGGTGGTGGTGGTGCGTCTGCAGCAGCTCTGTATCAGCACCTGGAAAAGCTTTTAGCAGATAACCCTCTCCCACCTGCTCCTCCTTCGCAACCACTACCATCTGAACCGCTTCCAACCTGCCCGGTTGCTGCCGCCGCTGCCGCTTCTACTGCTGCCGCTGCTGCTCCTGCTGGTGCAGGGGAGGATTCGGGTGCGACCCATGCTGACTACAGTAATGCTCCTGACTGTCTTGATGCTGCTGCTGCTGCTGCTGCTGCTGCTGCAACAACTTGTGCTGCTGCTGCTGCTGCTGCTAGCATTGACGGTACTCCAGGCAGTGGTGCTGATGGTGTTCCTGCAACTAACACCGCCGGTGCTGATGGTGTTCCTGCAACTAACACCGCCGACGCTGCTGCAGCAGCAAACCATCTCTCACACCTCGATGGGCTGCTGGAGTGCAACCAATCGCTGCTTGACATGTGTGCTGGAGCGGATTTCCTCAGCCTTAAAGACCTGCTAGCTGATGGTGTCTGGTAAATAAACCCTTGCACTTGATTCAGAGTTGGCCTTAGTGTGCAGAATTTGGGTTCACTCCGTAATTTGGAGGGTACTCTTGAATAAAAGATAGTGGGCACCCATGTGTGCGCTTGTGTAGGAGCTCTTTCTGTGTTTTGGATGCTCTATTTGTGGAGTTTGCCTTGATCATACTAATAGAAGCCAGCTGATTTTATTAATGGACATTCCTGGAGTTACTGCTGTACTGTGGCTGGAATGATTAATGTCGCCTAAAACAAAGCAGCGCGCTTGTGTTGCTGTTTCTCAAAAGAGGTAGCTGTCAGAATCAACTCTGCAGGAATGGTTGGATCAGCAAGAGTTGGGGTACAAATACTAACCCTAGAAGTGCTGTACCTCATAAGGAGTACCCCACTAAAGCCTACAAGTAAGATTGTACTTTGACACACCCCCATAGGCTAAGTGGGGGACAACAAGTCGATCACAAGACCAGTCAAACAAGACAACAAAGCAAAGCAAAGCAGCTCAGGGTGGATCTCAATGACACCACACAATCTGAGCACAAGCAAGCGGCCACATGGCCAGTTCACATGCAGAGTTATAATAGCAAGGCAGTACACTGATCACAACCTAGAAAGAGTAAACAAGCAGGTATAAAGATATATATCTCTGTACAACAAGTGCAAGTCAAGCAACTAGCAGGTGAGGCAGAGTGGGCAGAAGTCCAAGAGCAGTGCAGAAACGCTGATGATCACCAGACCCAAGGGCCTCGGTGAACACATCAGCAGTGTTGGCCCGAGAGGCCACGTAGGAAAGGCGAAGCTGACCACGCTGCAGCAGCTCTCGAGCAAGAAAGTAGCGAAGAGCAATGTGCTTCGTTCTGTGCTCCAGCCTCTGCTCGCGACACAAGGCAAGCATTGCCTTGTTGTCGACGTACAGAACCGGAGGAGAACGAGGCCACTCCCCCAAGTCGGTCAGCAGGTAGGTCAGCCAGCGTAGCTCCTGTGCAGCCATGGCCCCAGCGTAGATCTCGGCCTCACAACTGGAGCCAAGCACAGAAGAAGAATGAGTGAACCTCCACGAGACCGAATCAGAGCCAAGACTGAAGGTATAACCCTGGGACGAACGCTGAGTCGCCTGGTCGTCGGCCCAAGAAGCGTTGGAGTGTCCTGTGAGTACCACTGAACCCCGTCCTCCAAGCACGAGCCCTATGCCCGACGTACTGCATAAGTAACGCAGTACCCTCTTCGATGTCTACCGGGTGCCACGCAGCGAGCCAGGAGGCTTAGAGGGTACGCGAGGTCACGTTCTGTGCACGTAATCAGGTACATGAGGCAACCCACAAGCTCTGGGTACAGACCACTCGGCTCTACGGACTCGTCCGAAGGTGGAGCCGAGAGCGAGTGACCGGTAGACAGAGGAGTGGGCTGTGGCGAGGAGTACTAGAAGCCAAAGCGCTGGAGGACCTGGTGCACCATGTGTAACTGAGTCAGGGTGATGGTGCGCTGTGCTCTGTCCCGGGTGATCTGCAAGCCAAGATAGCTCTGCAGCTCACCCTGGTCAGAGCAGATGTGTCTCTCCTGCAGCTTCGCCTTCACTAGGGCCAGCGCCTCTGTGTCAACAGTAGCAAAAACCAAATCGTCGACGTACACGAGAACGTAGAACGGCGCAGGGTATTGTCGGTGCGCAGAAACAACGACGGGTCAGCAGTCGAAGGAGCAAACCCAAGAGGCGCAAGTGTCGTCCTCAGTGTGTCGTGCCACTTGCGAGGTGCCTGACGGAGGCTATACACTGGTCGCCGTAGGCTCCACTGGGTACCCGCAGGAAACGACCCAGTGAAGCCAGGTGGTCGGCGCAGCCAGATGGCCTAGTGAAGGCTACCCTACAAGAAAGCTGTCGAGAAGTTGAGGGAGTGCAGCTCGTAGTCACGCTGAGCTGCAACGTGTAGCAACACCCGAAGAGTGGTCATCTTCGGGGTGGGGGAGAAGGTCAGAAAGAAGTCAACCCCCTCACGCTGATTGAAGCCTCGAGCAACGTAACGTGCCTTGAAGGCAGGCGGAGAACCCGGCGGCCGCTTCACCCTGAAAATCCACATGCCACTGACGATGTTCGCCCCAGGTGGGGGAACCTCGTCGGCGTAGGTGCCTGTGGACTTTTAGGAAGCCATCTCTGCGTCCATGGCTGTCTACCACTGAGAGGAGTACTCACCCAAAATCGCCTCTCTGTAAGAGCGCGGGGTGGGGATGTCAAGTGCATCCGGGTCTCCCTCAGGGGCAAGCAGCATGGTCGCGAGATGAGGTGCAGCGGCCGCAAGACACTCCATCTCCTCCTGTCCGTCCTCAAGAGCGTCACAGCCAAGGGCAAGCTCACCCCCGATGGACAGAGGACAGGCAGGTTCAGGGTCAGAAACACGATTCGCAAGGTAGTCTAGGCAGTGCGCAGCAGCAAAGTCAACTAGCTCAGTGACTAAGGCAAACGCAGCAGGAGACGAGAACGTACGGTCCGTCACAACTGTTGCAAGCAAGCGAGTGACAGTCGGACTGGAAGCACGAGCAAGGTCAGACGGAGGGTCAGCAACGTCAGGAAGGGAAGACGCAGGGGGTGACGGTAGGACAACACGCTGTGGAACAGAGGAGGGGCGGAGTGTCATATCGTTAGTGCCTGGGACAGCCGGAGAACGAGGACGACGCACACGAACGGAAGCTCTAGTCTCAGGCTATCGACGCTCAGGAGTGGAAGCACAAGTCTCAGGCTCTCGTTGCTCAGTCAGGGACTGTGTCACAGCAGTGTAAGGAGCAGGAGCAGGTAGTGGGGAGTGAAGCAGTAGCTGTGGCTGAGACTTCTGCCGATGGGAACAGTAACAGAGGAGTAGTACCAGCGACTGGGAACTCAGTAGGAGCTGGCGGAAGACCGAGAAGGTGGCGAAGCGCATCAGCAGGTCCAGCACCTCCAGCACCAGCGGTACCTCCAGTACCTCCAGCAGTGGCAGCTCCAGCACCTCCAACACCAGCAGCACCTCCAGCACTAGCAGCTCCAGCAACTCCAGCACTAGCAGCACCTCCAGCATCAGCAGCACCTCCAGCACTAGCAGCTCCAGCACCTCCAGCACTAGCAGCTCCAGCACCTCCAGCACCTCCAGTACCAGCAGGACCTCCAGCACTAGCAGCTCCAGCAGCTCCAGCACCAGCAGCACCTCCAGCACTAGCATCTCCAGCATCTCCAGCACTAGCAGCTCCAGCACCTCCAGCACCTCCAGCACCAGCAGCACCTCCACCAGTAGCAGCTCCAGCACCTCCAGCACCAGCAGCACCTCCAGAACTAGCGGCTCCAGCACCTCCAGCACCTCCAGTACCTCCAGCACCAGCAGCACCTCTAGTACCTCCAGCACCAGTAGCACCTCCAGCAGTACCTCCAGCACCACCAGCAGTACCTCCAGGACTAGCAGCTCCAGCACCAGCAGGACCGAACCCTCCACCACCAGGACTACGTCGCCGAAAGATCCACTCACGAATCTGCTGTGGCGAGAGCGTCTCAAGTAGATCAGGCTGCGGTGGCTGTCCATCTCCAGGACCTCCAGCAGGGTCACCCACAGCTCCACCGCCACTAGGACTCGCAGCACCCCCAGAGTCAGCACCCCCAGTCGTAGCACCCCCAGAACTAGCACCCCCAGTCGCAGCACCCCCAGAACCCTCACCCTCTATCTCAACACCCCCAGGCTCAGCACCAGCGCTCTCAGCTACAAAGTCCATAGCAACAAGCTGCGGAGGCGGCGAAGACGGCCGAGGCGGAAAACCAGGAGCGGTCTCCAAGCGTGGAGAGCGACGAGTGGCCGCCGTGTCGTCAGCGGCAGGGTCACCCCCCTCAGTTGGGCCAGAGGAGTCAGAAGAGATCTTCAGAGGCTCAACCAAGGGGGGTGGGTCTACCTGAGACACACCTGAGGGAGCAGGACCCTGTGGGGGGAGGGGGTCTACCGGGGGGGGGACTTGTACCAGGAAGAGAGGTGCTAGGGGGACCGGGTGGGACGCGTGCGGGTGTAGTCTGTAGAAATAGACAGACTCGTCAAAGGTGACGTCCTGGGAGGAGAAGATTTGATGCGAGCGCGGGTGG